TTTGTGGCGACGTGTTGTGCAGGAGCTTGCCCGTCCCCAGCCAGGGTGTCGACAGATGATGATGATGAAAAAGTGACGAAGGGTTTCGATGGTTTGAGTTCAAATTTCACGCAATCTGCTATAAAATGGTATTAACTGCTAAAAAGGCTGGAAAGTGTAAGAAGTGGCGTGTTTTTGGTGAAAATTGATTTCGGGCCCGAGGCTTCCGGGTGTCCTTCCGCCTTGAGTGCGGTGCTTCGTAATTTAACCAGATATGCCCTCTTTGCGTTCTGGGGGTGCTGTCGCTATGCCTCAAGCGACGGACGTTTGTGACAATCTCAGTGTTAGAATTTGCTTTATACGTTTCTTGATAATACATAAGGGTTTTGTCTTACCGACAATATAAGTAATATAATAATAAATTTGGTGGCTAAATTACGGGTAATGGCCCGGTCTAATTGCACGTAAAAAAATGAAATTTTTGGCATTATTTTTCAAAAATTCCTTTTTCTCCTCAGATTTACTGAAATTTTAGACGTTAAAGAAATTGAAATTCTATTGTTCTCGTAGTAAGAGGGATATCCTTCATTTTCCAAAACAGTGTTTTGGCTTAACTATTATTTTCTGAAAGAGACGGTCCTTGAGTTGAGGGTGTGCAAAATCGAATTGTGACCCCCCAAAAAACTGGAGTGTGCCCTCTTCTATGTGTATTTTGAAGTGCTGAGACACACAAAAAAACTGAAGAAGAATAATGCCATCCTCCCGACTGCCATCAATGTCTTCTCTGTCATTTTCTCGCCCATGCTTGTCGAAGCTACATCTCTCAGTAGAGTTCCAAATCTTTGACTGACATATACAATTTCTCGTTGGTCAGTAATTGCCCTGATATCAATGGTTAAAATCCAATTGTGATCTACAACTGCCAGCTGAAGTGATTTCAAGATAAGCCACCTGAAAACAAAAGAAAAATATCAACGCACTAAAAATACAAATATCTAGACGCACACACTTTAATATAGACGCACACATACATTGTACACACACAGAGACCCCCCCCCACCTCACAAACACACACACACACACACACACACACACACACACACACACATACAGTCACGCATTCAGAACAAGGACACATAAAGACCCACACACACACAGACAAACACACACAGTGTCGCATACAGACACACACATAAAGACCGACACGCCATCCCCCCCCCACCCAGCACACACACACACACACACACACACACACACACACACACACACACACACACTGTCAAACAGATATCAATTTTGTCCATGGAGGGAATAGGTCGACAATGCTAGTTTCAGGGACGATACTACTTGCTATACCGGTTGATTAACTCAGATATAATCAAGGGCCAGGTGAGCGTTGCCTAGGGGTCAGGGGTTAATTCACCTATAGATCTACAGACTGTACACCACACATGAGCCGACAAAAATCAAAGAACTTCCCGTGAAATTTGTCAAGAATGGACGCGGGACTACTGATATCTACAATACTGCTGATATCAGTGCACTGCCTAGTAACTGCAGACAACACACAGCAAGGTCTGTCTGTCAGCCACGAAGAGTTTACGGAATATTTCTACGGCCTGGCTCGAAACAAGCCGATCGACTGGACAATGGTGGACCAGCTGGTTCGGGCCGGACAAGTCAGCCGACTGTGTCACAACCAGAGTGCGAAACTTCACTATGATACTACGACGTTTAAGACTTACGCCATTCGAAGTAAGTGTTGTTAATCTATATTTCATTTATTACGAAACCTTTTAGCCCTGCTGGGCTAGTCTTCCAAGGCTCAAACAGATACATGTAAAATGACATAATTACATGGTACAGAAAATGTACAGTAACTACATTTAACCCTAAACATGTTAAACAGTACACCTGGGGTCGGCTTTCGATCGTAATGGATACACCGGCGTTCTTATACATTGTATTTTTTCCGCTTTTATTTGTTTTTATGTTCTTATCGTATGGATATTTAGCTGGTGTGTTACGCCGAAAGGCGGTTATACCGGCTATACAGATACAGATACCAAAATTAGCTAATAATATCGTCCGCCATCTTGGATTTTGACCAATGAAGTAATCAAATTAGCATATGTTATGAATATTAAATGATTTAACTTATCTTTAATTATGTAAGATGTTATTAATGTCAGAAAGGAAGTGTTATCTAATATAAATCCAAAACAAGCTAAAATAAAACAAGAAAATACTTAAAACGCTCCTGTTTCTCTTGTCTTGTACGAGTTCTCCTTCTTCTCCAATTACAAACAGGTTATATCTAATTGACATTCATTAATAGTCTATTTTTCTCACAGTGTTGGACAGTACTGGGAAGACTATTCCGCCTGGTTTGTTCCAAGGGAACTGCATAGACTTCGGCAGCTACCAGGGATGTAGGGTGGATTCTAACAACGCCCCTGACCTACCTGCAGACTTCCGAGCCACGTACTGTCGGCTAAACTGGGGAGGGATACCGCCGGTAAGACGTTGTAACTTTGCGATGGAAAGGACGTATTGTATTTAGTGTGTGTTTGTTTGTTTATTTAGGAATCTCCCATTAGTGATAATATGTACATCACTATTCTTCCTGGAGTCCTATACATAAAATACAACTATTATTTACATACACGTTCAACTGCTATCATTGACATCATGTTACAGGAAAACTTATCTTATCAACATAGTAAATTACACATAAAGCATCAATTATTACAGCAATTGATAATATTACACTATACAGCCAACAATCAATAATATTACACTATACAGTTAGCCAAAAAACAATTATGTAATAGATGTCTGAGAGGTGTGTATGTGTTTGTGTACTCGTATGTGTGTGTGTGTATGTATGTGTGTGTGTGTATGTTTGTGTGTGCGTGAATGCATGTGTGTGTGCGTGTGTGTATGTGTGTGTGTGTGCGCGCGCTTGTGTGTATGTGTGTGTGTGTGTGTGTGTGTGCGTGTGTGTGTGTGTGTGTATGTGTGTGTGTGTGTGTGTGCGCGCGTGTGTGTATGTGTGTGTTTGTGTGTGTGTGAGTGAGTGAGTGCGTGAGTACTAGCTAGACTACACAATGTCTTTTTCGCTCATACTATGTCTTCTAGGATATAATGTGTTTTGTATTTCAACTCTATTCTAAAATATAGTATCTAAAGACCCATAATATAAGCTCATACCTTTAAGTACCATTTATCTTTTGTTAAAGGGTACCTCACTGACCTACATATCAATACAAAATGGCTTGTTTTGGTGCCATAATAAGTTTGAATCTCACTCATTTGCAGGAGATGTCAGCGGGTATGAAATACTATGTACAAGGCGTGTGCGTGCCAAGTTCATGTACGGATGGGGACGTTATGCTGCTGGCAACCACAGGTAAATATTCGCAGAAGAAAACATATTGCTTTTGCTCGATTTCAATCTCGTTTTCTTCTCCAAACAAAAAAGTCAATGACCTGGACCAGACGTCTGTCACCGTGGTAACTTGTGCTGTAGAAGGCACCCTGTGGTGTTGGATTAGCTAGTTGCTCGATCACCATATATTATATATGAATGTGTTTGAGTTGCTATAATACTATTGTGTTAGAATTGCGCCTTTTGCGGAATTCTTGTTAACTGCACCCTCTGTTACTACCACTCCCGGGCTCAGCTGTCTGGAGAAGGAGTGCAATAACATTTCACACATACTATAGTATGGAAGAAATGTATTGTTTTCCCTCTAGTTTTCACCACACCACGAAGTGAAGGAAGAATGGGCAAAATGTGCTGTATTTGCTCATTAGCAAATGTCGGCCTTTCTAGTTCTATTTTGGTGTAAGGTGTCTTCTTTTCATGAAAAAAAGGATATGTATGGTAATGTTTTTTCTTCTTGAGGTCTCCTTGGCCTGAAGCCCATGGAATCTTGGCATCTTCAAGGAGTCTTGTGTCAGAGGGAGGAAGATTACGCCACTTACTCAAACAGCGCTGTTACTGCAATGTTAGTTGACATTTTTTTAATTATCTGATATATATTCTTTTTTTTTTGCTTGGGGCAAACAAGGCCCCCGGTTCTGTGCTGAGTATCACATTTGAAGTTTTTAAAGTAATGTCATAATGCTTAAAACCAAGCAGATGTAAGGAGAGATAAGGCTGGCCGAATGAAACAAGAAGTGACGCAATTCTTTTACAGCATGTAACTGCTATAATAAGCTTCTACACAGTACATCTTCTACGTTGAAAAGAGCTCATGTTACATAATAATTGTGCAAGTCCAACTTAAAGTCCAGCGTTCGTACAATTCAAGTCATAAGGTGACCAATTATTTGAGTCACACATCGTCATCACACTCACACCTTTTAACTAGCTATTCCCATCTTGGCCCCGGCCAGTTTTTCTTTTTTTCTTGTTTAGGCCATGTTGATTTGATTATATGGATGACATCCGCGCGCGCATGAATTTTCGGCCGTTTCCAAAAAAAAAAGTTTTCAACCATACTGTAAGTCGTACAAAACAGTTGCAAAATGAGCAAAATATACCAAGTTACAAAAAAAAATTAATAAAAACTATACCAATGTCGTTGAATGCCAAAATCAAACGAAAAAATACGAAATTGTTAAGAAATGAACTTGAAGACTAGATTATTCGCCAAACCATATTCTATGCCATTTGCTCAACCCTCATGACCACGTAGATTTCATAATGATAAGAACTTTTTTGTTTTTTTGCACAACTTTTTTTCATTCGCACGCGCGCATCAGTTTTGGGGCTCCCGGAGGATGTCATCCATATAATCAAATCAACATGGCCTAACTGCTAATAAACTATTACACAGTATCTCTTCTGCGTTGAAAAGATTTCATGATACATAACAATTGTGCAAGTCCAACTTAAAGTCCAGCATTCGTACAATTCAAGTCATAAGGTGACCAATTATTTGAGTCACACATCGTCATCACACTCACGCCTTTTAACTAGCTATTCCCATCTTGGCCCCGGCCAGTTTTTTTTTGTTGTTGTTTATCTAAAAGCACAATTATGGTTTACCGTCAAACGTATACATTTTGGGTCCACTGGGAGTCTAACACCACTTTTGTTCAAATCTAGCATTACTGGTTTTCTCTCTGTTATTTCAGACGACTGGCCCTGTCATGATTGTCACTTCACCATTTCTGACATCATTCAAACAAATGTCAAAGAGACAATTTTAATCTTGAAATTTTAAAGATACAACGTACAAGAAGGAGTTAAACTTTTGCTCTGTGATTTATTCACCCAAACAACAATGGTTGAACCAAATATGTGTGTATTAACTTATATGATACAATAATTTTATCACCCCAGTCGGGGTAAAATTCCCAAAGATAAGTTCATCTGATAGTTGTTTAGATATAGGATATTGGGGTTTTCTTATTACACAACCGGTATAGACTCTCACAGGCTTGCTTATGTTTCGATGCCTGTCAGACACATATCTCTCTATTTTCGATAAAATTGCCTTGTGAATGTAGCAAATGTGTGTAAATTAAACATGATTCAACTGTGTTTTACAGTTGCTTAATACAGATGGGTTGGTTGGTTGGTTGATTGATTGATTAGTAAACTAGCTGATTCATTGATCCCATAATCATTCTCTTCTCAGCTGGATCACAGGGACCATTCTCCTGCTGTTGGTAGTCTCCGCCCTGTACGAGTTCATCACTACAACCTGTCTCTCAGAAGAAACCAAAAGGGATCTGGACGAAAGTAAGAACTCGACATTGTTCATACCTAGAAAATTAGTATGAAAGTTCATTTGTGTTCGTAGTTATATGTTTAGAGTTAAAACTTTTGGTCCAACACAAGTCATTAAACCGCGACGGGGGCCGACATCGTCTACCAAAAAGCTTTGACCCAGTGTTGACGTCACACTTCAAAGAAGCCACGTGACAAGCTTCACTGGGTCAGTCTACTGAGGAAGACCAGAGTGACTGGTCGAAAGCTCTAGGTCACTGTAGGTGAGAGAACTTTTTTTGTGTTGAACCAAAAGTTTGAACTCTAAATATACCTAGAAAATGTTTTCTTGTACAATAAGGAGGTTTGCACTACTTTTTGGCGACGTCTCAGGCAGGAGCCTAATGGTACAGTATTGTGTGCAGTTCGCAATAATTCTAGGAATTGTACAGGAATTTTGTCCACAGGCATGGAATGTCCACAGGAATGTCTCCCGGCTCTGTTTGTTGACAAGCCCACATTCCTGGAAATCCTTGGGAAATCTGTCTGCCGGATGCCCTACATAAAGTTTCTGTGAACCCGGGGCTCGTTCACTATACACTAAAGGGATGGTAGGGACCAAGACTTCCTCAAAATCATGAACTCATTGCAGTGCCATGCATAACCCTAACAGCAACCACCGTCGCCATGACAATGTTAGTTTTCATTGCCAATCTTGTTGACTGTTATCTTTTACACGTTGTAAATCTACAGGCAAAGCTGCCCGTTTCTTAAAGTGCTTCTCTGTCTACAACAACACCAAGAAGTTGTTGGACACGTCCCAGCCGCCAGGACAACTCCCCACACTTCACGGCATCCGGGTTATCAGCTGTATGCTAATTATCTACGGACACACCATTGTGATGCAGGTCGACATAGGTACGTTTTATTAGCTGCTGATATAATGATAAATAGCTGAACTTTTAGAATTAAATAAAAAAGATAGCACAAGAGTTTTCGTCTGTCCTTGTTCAGTTTTCCTCAGAATTTACGTGATCTTACATGAAGTGAGTAATTGGACATATGCTAATACCACCCGCCATATTTACATCCGGGTACACCACAGTTTGTGACGTCACGCGTCACGTGATCTGTTTTCCCATTTGATTTCTGAGGAACACTACACTGGGTTAGTAGAAAATTGGATATCTTGTGTTGGAACAAAATTTTCAACCTGCTCTGTAGGTGGGATATATTGTGATGGAAACTCATACCTAAATCTGTACATAACTTAGGGGCCTATAGCTACTAGTGAATAGAGTCCCAGACCCAGCACTATTTCTTTTCTCACAGCTAATCCGGTAGACAGACAGCGGGTCATAAACTGGGAGACGTCATTTCCCTTATACGTCAATCACCTGGACTTAGCAGCAGACGCATTCTTTCTACTCAGGTACGTGAATACCATACGAAGGGCGTTCAAACATTTGTCAAACTCACCCGGATATATATAAAACGGTGGAACAACTTAACAGGACTATGTAGCCGCAAGAATATACTCTCCCTTCACGCAAGAATATACTCCCCTCACTTGTGTTTATCCAGCAACGGCCCTCATTTTCAAGCTTGCTTCCTTCTTGATGCGTTAGCGCTGGCCAATGACCATCAGCCAATCACATCGCCGCCTACGAACAAGAGGCGACGGGATTGGCTGGTAAATTTTCCTCTAACAACAGAAAGGCTCTGATTGGCTGACGGCTGGCCAACGCTAGCGCAGCGAAACGGTTGGATCGCGGGCCCACGACGAGCGGATTGTTGGATTATTCAATGTAAAATCGAAACGATTTTCTGTACATTTTTAAATATTTGTACTTTATGAAACCTTTTTTTTATAACTCAATGTTTCTTTCCCGTTTTAACAGTGGGCTGACGACGTCCTATCAGCTTCTGAAACACTTGAAGAAAACTGGCGGTATTTTTACGTGGAAGGACCTGAGCATGTATTACATACATCGTTATTTCAGGTTGTCAACTCAATCTTTATTTTGTTGATTTCTTCATTTGGATCAATGCATGAATCAATGAATGAATCAATGAATGAATCAATCAATGAATCAATCAATCAATGAATCAATGAATCAATGAATCAATGAATTAATCGATTAATCAATCAATCAAACAAAATATCTTTTATGCAATGTCTTATATTTGTTATATTCATTATTTTATACATTGTTATTTCAGGTTGTAACATCACTTCTTTATTTTGTTGATTTCTTCACTCATTCACTCATTCAATCAATCAATCAATCAATCAATCAATCAATCAATCAATCAATCAAACAGACAAACAAACAAAATATAATCTTTTATGCAATGTCTTAGATTTGTTATATTCATTATTTTAATATGATTAACGTTATACCGAAGAAATTTTAAGTAAAACATGAAGACTGAGTTAGCTGTCCTTTTTCCTTTTTCTTGTGATTGCAATGCTAATTAAACAAACATTTGACAAATTCAGATTACTAAACGTAAACGAAACACGACTTTCCTGACGTTACCCAAGGGAAAATGAGTATTGTCTGACCTGTACTTGTTTCTGTGTGTGGGACACAACACCGACAACAGCTACCTTTGTCCCACGTGTATTGTATCGTTACAATTTATACAAATCAAAGCAAATCTCTAAACGTATGTTATGTTTGAAGAAGACCCTGGGAAACGACTTCCTCGTTAGCCGGGGTGCCAAAACCATAGCACACTGGACACAAAGTATCTCAGTGAGCCTGGGTCTGGCCGTGAGCCTTAGGAAAGGCTCTCTAGCATATGGAGGAGAAGATGTGATTGATAACCCCTCACACCACAGGTAGCCTGTTACATGGCACCACCATTGGTCAGCAGGAGACAATCTTTTGCTGAACAGTCAATCATTAACCAGTCAATTCTCTAGATGTATTTGGAGTTTATTTTCCAAAATAAGAGCAGAACTTAATTTATCAGTAGAAGTAGTGTACAATCCAGGCTTTCCTGTTTGTTTAGGTCCTATAACACACCAGGACAAAATACACCTTATTTACAGTTTTATCTTATCTGCTCGTGAAGATTCAGAGATACAGCTGGGAGTTTTTAACCAATCATAGCAGAGGTGCAAAATTGCTTCCTGCTGTTCCACGAATGGGGCCTTACGTTCAGATACTGAGCGTTCGACTGGCAGGTCTATCTGACCCTACCAGACCCAGGCTCACTGAGATACTTTGTGTCCTGGAGTGTGATTGGGTTTGGAACCCAGGCTACCTCCTCGTCGGCTGCTGTACTAACGATACACGCCTGCCTTTTGCCCAGAGTCACGCCGGTGTACGCCTTCCTCCTGATGGTCTACTCCTGCCTGTTTGTGTACATGGGTACAGGACCGAACTGGGCTGACCCCACTCTGAAAGCCATGACAGAATTACAGGGATGTCCGGATTCATACTGGACAAACCTCTTATACATCAATAACTACGTCAACAAGGTAAAGTGACTGAATAGACGAATAAATGTATAAAAGAAGGAATGAATAGACTAATAAATGAATGACTAGACGAATGCATACATAGACGAATGGATACAGAAATAGACAAATGATTAGACGAAAGAATGAAAAAAATGTATAGACGAAGGGATGAAGGAATAGAGAAAGAATAGAGGAAGGGATAAAGGAATTAATGAGTGGGATATTCTAAAGGATAAATGATTTAACAAATGATTGAATGAATAAATGGATGACAAGACGAATTGGTGTATGCTTGGATAAATAGACGAATGACAATAGACAAATGAATAGATTAAGGAACATATAAAAGTTTATGAACGTGTGACATATCACTGCATCAAAGTAAGAAACAAAACATTAAATCAGAACCTTTTCTTGTCTCCTCTCTTCATAGTTATCTGCAATCCACCTTCCGGCATTGCAACATACATCTTTGCCCATTTTCGGCAGAGGCAACAATTTTTTTGTCAAAATCAGGCAAAAATTAATGCGAGCGCTGATGTCATCCATAAAAATTACTTGTGGCCTTAAGTGTTGCAAGAGGGTCTGCATGTACTGAAAACGGAAGTTAAAGAATTACTCTTTGTTAGCTAAGTGGTTATACCAGTGGAATATAGAGGCTAGAGGCTACAGTGTGATTTATATAATGATATATTTGATTTCAGTGCTTCAAGTGGGCGTGGTTCCTAGCCGTCGACATGCAGCTTTTCATCGTCTCTCCGTTCATTTTGCTGCTCTTATACAGGTGAGATAGATTACTTAATAAAAGGTAAATTTAGTTACATGTAACCCGATACTCTTTTTTCTTTTCAATTCATTTCTTTATTATTATTATACCAACATTGCAGACATACAGTATATAGAATTATAGTGTTGCCTGAATGACATTGGTATTTTTAATCAATACATTAAAAACACATAACATTACATTGCATTACATATACATAAATTATATACATGAATATATACATAATACTGATATGAACTGTGCATCTCAGGCATAGCAAAATTCTGATTATACAGTCTGATTGTAGAGTCTGATGGACTGATGTAGGAAAGAGTTATGAAGTCTTTTTGGGGGGATGGAGATGGTGTTTTTGTTTCTAAGATAGTGTCTTTGTTTATATAACACGGCAGACATTTACCATCATATACAATATAATATGATTATTCACCAGTATAGGATGAATTCCATACTTTTAAATGACATCTTTCTTAAATTAACCATAATGCTCCTGCCTGACAGGCAACCAAGGAGAGGAATCGCCGTTACTCTCTTCCTCGTTGTGTCCAGTTGGGTGATAAATGCAGTGAGGTACCAAATGCAACAGTAAGTACTTTTTATTGACTAGAACGTTTTCTGATATACAATTGTTAGAATACTAAATTTATAACATCTATATAAGGTATAACGACAACAAATTCTGTCAAACTGATGGCCCCTTATTTATCATTACTTCCGGGACGGAAGTATTGTTTGGGGCGTCTCTGGTTCACAGGACGTTTTAAAAGTGTATTCTATTTTGAGCATCGAAGGTTGGAAGTGAGCGGTTTCAGTTGATTGACAGGGTTGTGACCCCGTATGCCCTGGGTGGTTGGATGAGCAAGTCGGCAGAACGTACTGCGCCTGCGCAGAACCCTGGATTTTCGCGTTTTTTAGTTGGATTTTTGGTCAACGTTGCATCAGAATTTTCACTGTTGCAGAGGATGTCTTTTCTGACACAACTACTGTCGAAATGCTAACCTTATATGAGCGAATACAACCTTATATGAGACATTCTGCTGAAGTGCTATGCACAATACATTACGGGTTTCGCGCAGGTGCAGTACGTTCTGCCGACGTACGTGCTGGTTGGATGCAATTTGAGGTTGCCAAAAGTGATCATGAGCACTATGTAAACATGGTATGAACCATAGACCATGGTCTAATACCGGATTAAATTATTAAACATACAATCATTTGCCGTAGCATTTCATACCATTAAGTCTTCACACACGGCATGCAATCTCTTCGATTGGAACAGTACATAAGGGCATGAGATATGTATTTTCCTGGAAGTTTGAAATTTCCGATTTCTTGTTTAAGAGAGGAAGGCGTTTTCACCGTGACGTATCACAACCGAGACACCATCATTCGCCTGGGCCCGTACATGATAGGGATCCTGCTAGGGTATCTGCTCTTACAGACAGACAGAACGGTGCCCAGTACACGCACAACAAAGGTATGACATGTAGTTAAGGAGAACATATATCGCCATAGATTTTTCCATCTGGGTGTATTGTGTATTGGGTGGGTTTGTCAGTGAGTATGGGTATATGCTTGTCCATCGGAGATGGTAGGGCTGCAGGGAGAGTAAAGTGGTTATTTGGTTGACAGGGAAACATGAAGGTGACCCAGCACGAGCCGGGTGGGTAAGTGTAAGTGGGTGGTGCGTGGAGGAATTCAGGAAGTTGTTGACTGTGTATAATACCCGATTGAATTATATCATACTATTATGTCATCCCCTGTCAATGGACTAAAACCTAATCTCCACACATTCCACAATACTTCAGACTCATTAAAATCATTCTCCGAACAAATAAAGCGCCGCCCAAAATACTACTAAGTACTTCCTTTGAAGCAGCTGTAACATGATAGGGGTACAAGGTACGAGATATAATATTGGTTTATACCCGAGATTACAGATATACAGTTTAGCAACGTTAACTTGTACGTAAGAGTGTTAAAGTAGATGGGCTTTGGTTGTATGTATGATATGGATCTTGATATTTATTTTTTTGTGCACCAGTGAATAGTTTTATAACTTAACCATTGATAAACCACTAATAAAGCTGTTTATTTGTACACACGCAGTGTGTCCTCAAAGCAATATACTGCCGGGCTCTACTTCTTACTACAGCTAGATGTCGCTGCTGCAGTGTTAGTAACGTGGCCTCAAATGTGACTGAGTTTGTATGCCCCCCCCCCCCTCATTGTGCTGTACTGTTCCAGGTGCTGATGCTACTCGGTTGGATGATTGGCTGTGCCGTGAACATCCTACTCACAATCCCCAAGGTCACCTTCTGTACCTACGGCATGCTTCTGCAGTCTCAGGGTTCAGCTGGAATCAAATCCCGGACCAGCACTTTTGACAACCCGGGTTGGATGGCGTTTTACCGCAGCGTGTTCGCCACTAGTGTGGCCTGGCTGGTGTACGCCTGTAGCGTTGGGTATGGAGGTACGTGTTCGAATAAGTCCTAACTTTTATCTACTGATTTTATTATCATCATTATAAAGTATGGTGAATTCATTCCTCAAGCTAACCAACATCTCGCATACCACAGTCGTCACTCAGTTCAACGTGTACAAGCCTTTAAGGCTTCATCTTCTCCTGCACAGTGTTTTTTTAATTTGATTTACTTCACACTGTATCTTGTTTTTTTGTGCGAAATAAATAGATAAAATAAAAATAAATAAACATTCTGGGGCCGCATAGTTCCGGTTTGGAACTTTTATTCAGCCTGAAACGACCGGTGTCGTCCCGTGTGCTTTTTCAGGTGTAAATGAAACAATTTCATTAAGTTCTCACTTTCATACCTGTGCAGTGCATAGCTATCGCGTCTTGGTCAGTGGTAACATGATATCATACAATTCGTATAGTGACCTTAGTTGACATACATCCGATCGTAACAGGCTGAAAAAACGGGAAACGGAAACTACACGGCTCCAGATGTCGTTTACGGCTTCAGAATAAACCTACTCTCATTTTCACTACATATATTTTATTATTGTTACTATCCTATCCAAAACACGATCCAGCATTTTTATAATCGTTCAGTCTTTTGTCTTTCAGTCTAAAGTTAAAACTTAAATTCCAACGCAACGTATTGCTCTCTCCTAAAGCGTTCAACCAGTCACTGATATTCTTTAATAGACTGACCCAGTGAGACCCACGTGGCGTCTTCGAAATGTGACGTCACAGGTATCTGGTAAACAATGTCTGCCCCCGTCGCGGTTGAGTGATGGAGCCTGATGTAAATAGCCTCTAATCTTTTCCCCCTCTCTAGGGTGGCTGGTCGAAGGTTGTAGGTGATAACAATCTCTCGTATTGGAGCTTACACATGAAACTATCAACACAGATGAGCTTTAATGATAGTACTGTCTTCTACCCTCCCCCTAAGGTATCATCACGGAGTTCCTGTCCTGGAGGGGCTGGGCTCCGCTCAGTCGTCTGAGTTATGCTGCCTACCTCGTACATCCCATAATAATCCACGCCTACACCATGTCCCAAAAGACACTTCTCTACTTCTCTGTGGCAAACTGGGTAAATTATTATTATCATGATATACCATAGATAGGCATAATGCCTTTGATATATCATAGATAGGCATAATGCCTTTGATATACCATAGATAGGCATAATGCCTTTGATATACCATAGATAGGCATAATGCATTTGATATACCATAGATAGCCATTATGCCTTTGATATACCATAGATAGCCATTATGCCTTTGATATACCATAGATAGGCATAATGCCTTTGACATACCATAGATAGACATAATGCCTTTGATATACCATAGATAGGCATAATGCCTTTGATATACCATAGATAGGCATAATGCCTTTGATATACCATAGTTAGGCATAATGCCTTTGATATACCATAGTTAGGCATAATGCCTTTGATATACCATAGATAGGCATAATGCCTTTGATATACTATAGATAGGCATAATGCCTTTGATATACCATAGATAGCCATTATGCCTTTGATATACCATAGATAGACATAATGCCTTTGATATACCATAGATAGACATAATGCCTTTGATATACCATAGATAGGCATAATGCCTTTGATATACCATAGTTAGGCATAATGCCTTTGATATACCATAGATAGGCATAATGCCTTTGATATACTATAGATAGGCATAATGCCTTTGATATACCATAGATAGGCATGATGCCTTTGATACACCATAGATAGGCACAATGCCTTTGATATACCATAGATAGGCATAATGCCTTTGATATACCATAGATAGGCATAATGCCTTTGATATACCATAGATAGGCATAATGCCTTTGATATACCATAGATAGGCATAATGCCTTTGATATACCATAGATAGGCATAATGCCTTTGATGTACCATAGATAGGCATCATGTCTTTGATATACCATAGATAGGCATAATGCCTTTGATATACCATAGTTAGGCATAATGCCTTTGATATACCATAGTTAGGCATAATGCCTTTGATATACCATAGATAGTCATAATGCCTTTGATATACCATAGTTAGGCATAATGGCATCCACGACTTGAGTTTGCGCCAGACAGCAGAAAGAATTGCTCGCCTAAGGAGTGATTGAAACATTCTTGTTGAGAGTAAAAAAAATCATTTTGTATTATGTTAACGCTGGCAACCTTCTTGTGTATTTGGCTGAAAAAGCCCCAATAATTATGCTTTCCTTCGCAAAAGGAAAAATTGTTTTTCCTCTGTTTCTTTTTCCTCTACAAACACATGAGGTGAATGACAAGGAGCAGACCTCAGTCACCATGGTAACTAATGCTGTAGCAGACCCCCTTAGTGTTGGGTTACTTTATGTTGCTAGTAACACTGCAGAGTTGGACTCATATATATGATTGCGTTTGAAACTTTGAGTATGAATAAACATAGCAGTATTTTTTTATACTAGACCACGTGTAGACCAAGGTAACATTTGCAAAGCAAATAGACATTATGATTTTCTTTTTCTAATATAAGTCCCATTTTCCCCTCCAGTGTGTTACCGCCTTCGGTATCATCTGCAGTGCCTTTCTCTTCGCCCTTGCCGCTTCGCTCATGGTCGAGATGCCATTCGCGGGACTGGAGCATCTCATTCTTTTCGGGGGGAGACAGGGTGGGTCTAAAAACACATCAGTGAACAATGGGAAGAAACAGGGAACTACTGGTAAGAAAGAAAACAGTTTTCCTATCGCATGATTTTATCACATGGTTCCACTTTCTTCAACATCGAATCAGAAATATGATGGTCATCAACAAAGATTTGGTATACGTTTTCGCCTTACTGCACAAAAATATAAAATACAATGAATGACAACTTTTACTACTTGACAATATAACTCTAGGACAAAAATATTTATTAATATAGTCTACAACAGAGCCGATCCAGTTTGATCCAGTTCACAGTTAGTGGTGCGCAAGCGCAGTATGTTGCATTATGGGTAAATGTAAACATTTTCGGTCCCTGGCATATTGTTAAAGTATGGATTGGAGCCTTACACTTTGAAATTTACCCACAATGCACAATCAAACTGTGAGCTGACGTCATTCTTCCTGGACATTTCACCGAGAGAGATAAGCTACTTGAAGTGGTCGCCAAAAAGCTTTATTCACCCACAAAAAACTGCATTCTTTTAACACCCCCTAATCCATATGTCTCGCAAAACGTCGGGTATTTTATACTCCACTGCACACAGAAATCAAACCGAACAAAAAGTATACATATAAAGGTAGCATTAGTAGCCTTTTTTGGGTCATTTAACTGTTTATCATTGTATCATGTTCTTCCAATTAGTCCCCGGGCATGAATTTGCAATAAACGTTCTATAATGGACAAATACGCTAGCACAACTTTCGTACAAACAAAATTAGTTACAAGTAGCAAATGGCTAAATATAGTGACTTATGTTGTTTCAGCAGACGACACGGGCAAAGCGACCACTGGACGGACTGAAGGGTCCAGGGCTGACAACAAGGGGGCAAATGTTAACGAAGAACCCTTGGTCCAAAAGAAGGAAGACTAATAACGAAGTTTCGCCAGTGATATACATTGTATAAGCTAACACATAGAAAAGTTATCATGAAAGTTCATCTGTGTTCAACTTGGTAGCTACCTGTTTAAAGTTACAACTTTGGTCCAACACAAAAAGTTCTCTCACCTAGAGCTTTCGACCAGCCAGTCTGGTCTTCCTCAGTAGACTGACCCAGTGAAGCTTGTCACGTGGCTTCTTTGAAGTGTGACGTCAACACTGGGTCAAAGGTATCTGGTAGACGATGTCGACCCCCGTCGCGGTTCAATGTAGGGTGATGGGCCCTGATGTATATGGCTTCCTTTACCCCTCTCAAAAAATAGTCACACTTCAAAGTCACAGAAGCCACGCGACAAGCTTCACTGGGTCAGTCTACTGAGGAAGACCAGACTGACTGGTCGAAAGCTCTAGGTGAGAGAATTTTTTTGTGTTGGACCAAAGGTTTTAACTTTAAACATGTAACATAGAAAAGTTGTTAACCTAGACTTTAGGGGAGGGACTAAATTATTGCTTAGAGCACCAGCTTTCTGTCTTGAGATGACATGCCTAAGTAATCTACAATACATGATATTATGCAACTGCAAAATTAACACACATGTACTTCGGTGACATGTAACAAATAGGAAAAGAGGCATTTTTAATCTTATCAGAGTCATCACAGTTAAGGCCTGGCCATAATTATCTTTAGAATGTCTTACGATCGAGATATATTATATACTTTTCGCTTCTTAATAGAGGACATCTACAGAAGGGCATTACAAACATTCCTCGGTAAAGACGGGGGGCGCCACAGACTTTCTGAAACCTGTAATAGACTGCTCACGAAGTCATTTTCTGCATAACATGATTAGCCAGGAGTGTCACAATACAGGCTATTGTTTACACTAGCACATGATAGAAAAAAACATGACGTCACAAAGGCGGTAGATTGCTCATTCCTAATAATGACAAAGCCTGGAGTTATAGTGTAAGATCAGGTGTCAGATCATGGAGCTAGAAAAGGTTGATCAGCTCGAAAAATTATACTCCTTTCAGGGTCCACCCCAAAAAAGTCTATGGTCGGCAGTTTTTTCTAGGGTCGGTCGGAAAAAGGCAAAATTTCTTTTCCTAGGCCTTGCTAACTTAATTACCGGTATACCCAACGATGTTGTGTTTTGCCACATGCCTATCTAGGTGAAATCTCTGTGCAGCAGAATAGTCACACTGGTCACACTTGTAGGGTTTCTCGCCTGTATGTTGTCTCATGTGTACACTTAGGGCAGACTTACAAGTGGTTCTGTATCCGCACTCCCCACACATGTAGGGTTTTTCACCGTCATGTTTTGCCATGACATGTTGATTTAAGTCAACTTTCTGTGCAGCAGAATAGTCGCACTGGTTACACTTGTAGGGTTTCTCACCAGTATGTTTTCTCATGTGTCGGGATAGGTTAGACCTGTCGGCAGTCCTGTATCCACACTCCCCGCACATGTAGGGCTTATCATCGGTGTGTTTCGCCATGAAGTGGTTGTCTACCACCTTTTTTTCTGCAGCAGAAAAGGCGCACTGGTCACATTTGTAGGGTTTCTCACCTGTATGCTTTCTCATGTGTCGTGAAAGGGCCGACCGTCTGGGCGTCCTGTATCCACACTCGCCACATAGATACGGTTTTTCACCCGCATGGTTTTTCATGTGTCGAGCCAGGTTGGAACTGTCAGCCGTCCTGTATCCACACTTTTCACACATGTAGGGTTTTACTCCAGTATGCGTTTTCATATGTCGGGACATGTAGGCCCTTTTATCTGACTTGTATCCACATTCCTCACAACTTTTCTCTCCTGTATGTTTTCTCATGTGTCGTCTGAAGTGTCCAGTCGCAGACGTGCTGTATCCACACTCCTCACAGGTATGTTTTGCCATCATGACAGCTTGGTCTAGATCTTCTCGTCGTGCTGGGGAATATGCAGAAATATATATATATTTTATCTATTCATCAAAACATATAAACATAACAAGGACAGTGTGACGCTGCACTCAAGTTAACAACTTATATTAACAGCACCACACAACAAAAAAGGTACAATTAACATTTAAATATAAAAAGTTGACATATCTGTGCGCCGTAGTCCCATCACCCCAAGACATTAAACTGTTTAATTAAATGCTAACAGAGCTATTTGAAAGATAAGATTACATGGTAACCTCCTATATCTCATTGGCGGAAAAACATCCGCCAATCAGAGCTTAGTAAGGAGGGGAATTTAGGCCCATTAACACTTACGTAGTATTTGGACTTCTATATCTAATTGACTATTAGAAACCGTCAAGCAGAGCTAGAAGCGCTTAGTATCTCCAATGTAAACCTGAGTGAGTTGCGCATCGTTTTAAAGTTGTACATAGAGGGTAACATTGAGGAGCCTCTAAGAATAAAGTGCAGTTTAGCATTATCTGACATATTATTAAGGTTGACAAGATGACCGAGAAATGATGCAGAAATATTACAGACGAACTTTATTGCAGAAATATTACAGAAGAACTTTATTGCACGAAAATTGTACATGACACACATGTACGACAAGAGCTAATGAACAAGTATAAAAAATGCACTTTTAACATTCTAGATAATAAAACTATAAGGGCTGGTATAATCTACAATCGGGTGGGGCTAATCATCATCATGGTTTTCAGCAGTTTTAATCAACAAACCAGTCTTTTAAATACATGTATTTACACATTTTTACATTCACGGTGGGAGTTGTTGCATCTAAAGATCGATCATACTCACTGCAGCACCAAAAACGGTAAAAAGAAAAAACACTCTTATAGTGATAACAGATTTATTGTACATTGCCTAAACTTCAAAGTACTATTACTATGATTATCATTGTTATTCTGATCAGTTTTTTTGATCAGTTATTATGATCAGTTACGAGTTGAGTTATTATGATCATTATTATTTTGATCAGTTTTATTATGATCAGTATTTATTGTAATCAGTTATTACTATAACCAGTTATCATTATGATCACCTATTATCATGATCATTTATTATTATGATCACTTATCATTATGATCACTTATTATCATGATCATTTATTATTATGATCATTTATTATATTTATGATCACTTAGTATTATGATCACTTTTATTATCATTAGATATGAGTTGAATTGTTATTATTTCATTATTATGATTATTATTATTAGGTAAGGGATGGTTCACTACATTGTATATTGTATGTTTATTGATAGATGAATAAAAAAAAAACTTCAAAGTACTAGAATATCTAGGGTAGACTTCATTGGTTACTGTAAAAACCGAAAGGGGCGAGCAGGTCACAACCGGGAATCGAACCCGAGTTGTCCGCTTGGCGGTCACCAACGCTAACCACTACACTCAAAGGTCGCACGACCATTTAGCATGGTCAGATAGCACTGTTACACTTCAACAATTATTTAAAACATTCGACAGTCTGCCCCCCTCCCACGGTGCCCCAACTCTAATTTCAGTGGTACTACATTTAAGGGTTTCCTCTTTTTTCCTGATTAACGTTTTATTATATCAGTTGATATTTCGACAGTATGTACAGTTCGTACAATACAGGCGTCCTTCGTGTAATTACATGGCATATATGTAAATGTTAGCCACATTGTATAATGCGAGGGGTCGCTATGACCTAGATACGTGAATACGGATCGTAGAATTCGGCGAATAAGGGAAATAATTCAAATAAATTGGCCAAGAGAGTCAGTCCAGGGGAATGTTAATTTTCCCCTTCAAATGAACGTACTCCACGGTGACCAATTTCCCCATTTCGCTAAATTTTACTGTTTTAGATTAGTACCCGCAAATGTTGTTACTTAGTCTGGTGGAGACTAGAGCCCGCTAATATTCCTTTTGTTTTATATCCAGACAGACCAATGGATTATCATTGTACTGTGATAGGTCTTCCACAGAATTGTACCATAACTGTTACACACAATAAAGAAATACTCAGCTGTTTGTCTTACCTGATTTTGGCACAAGAATTTCGCGTAGAATTCTCGGAATTCAGGTTGCGCGGTAACGGGAGCATGGTATTTTCCCATATATGCAAATATAATTCATTAATATATGAAAGATTTATTCATACATGCAAGCACGTGCATACATTACTACAACTTGTATACCCTATGTATCATAAGCAATTCATTCTACATATAACGTTACCCCTTTGCACTCTCATTCTTTCTACCTCAACCTAAGGCACTCCCACAATCACCCCTGCACACTCTTACGCACCCTGTGCACCCTGTGCACTCCCACGCACCCTGCGCACCCCCATGCACCCTGCGCACTCTCATTCAACCTTCTTAAACCTGATGCACCCCCATGCACCCTGTGCATTCTCATTCAACCTTCTTAAACCTGATGCACCCCCACGCAACCTGTGCACTCCCATTCAACCTTCTTAAACCTGATGCACCCCAGGCACCCTGTGCACTCTCATTCAACCTTCTTAAACCTGATGCACCCCCACGCAACCTGTTCACTCTCATTCAACCTTCTTAAACCTGATGCACCCCCATGCAACCTGTGCACTCTCATTCAACCCTCTTAAACCTGATGCATCCCCACGCAACCTGTGCACTCTCATTCAACCTTCTTAAACCTGATGCACCCCAGGCAACCTGTGCACTCTTATTCAAACTTCTTAAACCTGATGCACCCCCATGCAACCTGTGCACTCCCATTCAACCTTCTTAAACCTGATGCACCCCCATGCACCCTGTGCACTCTCATTCAACCCTCTTAAACCTGATGCCACATGCAACCTGTGCACTCTCATTCCTTGTTAAACCTGATGCACCCCCATTAAACCTGTGCACTCTCATTCAACCTTTTTAAATCTGATGCACCCTCACGCACCCTGTGCACTCCCATTCAACCTTCTTAAACCTGATGCACCCCCGGCCACGCACCCTGTGCACTCCCATTCAACCTTCTTAAACCTGATGCACCCCCATGCACCCTGTGCACTCTCATTCAACCCTCTTAAACCTGATGCCACATG